TATCCCCAAATGTAGGCCCCCACATGAGCCATTGTCTAAACTCCTAGTATCCCCCTTAATAAGCCCTATAGTAGTCCCCTATATAATCCCCTGTATAACCTCCTTTAAGGAGTTTAGGCTATAGCTCACATTGTGTAGAGGGCTTCGGGCTTCCTGGGGAGCCGTCGGTCGAGGACTTGCGGTTCGCAGTATTGAGGGGTCCGTGGCATGTTGAAGAATGTTGCGCTTGGGAGCTTAGTCATTTTTCAACCCTAAACCCTAGACCCTAAACCCTAAACCCTAGATTCGGACTCAGGGTTTTGGGTTTAGGGCTTAGGGATGTTCAGGGTTTAGGGTGCCCTTAAACCTTCAACCCTGTAGCTGTCCTGTACCTGTGTGGTTTTGGTCTTTTGCTTTTGAGACCCGAAAGCTGCCAAGCGCCTAGCCCTTATTCTTACCCTCCCCTAAACGGACATGAAGCTCCATAGAGCGCGCTTTAAAAGCGCAGGAGTCTTTACCCGTACTTTTGGGGGTTCAGGATATAGGGTTTGGGTTTAGTTTGGGGGAGGGTAAGGTCGAGTGAGGTCCTCCCCTGCGTGCAGTACGTGGCAATGTGCTGATCTGCCGGCAGGGGATCAGCTGAGCTCTCCCTCACCCGCCTTAGGATTAAGCTCTTGCCCCCGCCCATGGTTTGTGTAATCCCGTTTGCATGAAGATTTATAGACGGTCTATAGTGACTAGTGTTTGTGGACCGCTTGTGACATATATCCCACCCCCCTGTGGTCCTGTGGCCTGTGGTCTGGATCTTGTGGTGGTTTACTTGCTGTTTATAGATGGTTTATAAAAAGCTTCTGATAGTTCACAGAGGGTGTGCAACAGTTCATAGAAGATTCAAGAAGGCTTGCAGAGGGTTATGGCCTTATGGTAAGCTTATGCAAGATGAAGACCTAGCCGAGCCCTGACTGTGAGTGCCTTTAAAATGCGCCGACAATATGAGGCTTCAAGAGCGATGACAGTTGCGAGGACCGCGCTGAGGACCGCCCCCATCCTTGTGACTGTTGGTATTTATGAGGCGCGCCGAACGCACGAGGGGCTAAAAAAGTGACGACAGTTACGAGGCAGGCAGGCAGGCAGGCAGGCAGGCAGGCAGGCAGGCAGGCAGGCATCACAAACAACGACTGTTAATTACGCGGATGGTGACCCTGAGGGGCCCCATGCCTGTGACTGGGTGAGGGGTTGTGCCGTGTGATGCTATAGGGGGGCATGTATGACTTTCTGGTTATGCCTATATGTGCTCCCCCACTCCCTCTCAAGTACCAGACTGCGAAAGCCTGGTCCAGGTCGCTTGGCCTTGGAGGAAATATGTTCCACGCTGACCACACTGGCTACCAAGGTGCCCTCAACCAAAAAGATCTAACTTAGCAGCCCTAGACTTCATACTTCAAGCCCCAACCCCTAAGTCATGTATTAGTGTCCTTCGTAGAGGGTCTGTCCTATCTACGGTCCGCTAGGAGTGTAGCCTAACTAGTGCCATGTTCTTTTCCATTCCCTAAACCCTAAACCCTAACCCCAAAACACCAAAAGCTGCAAACCCTAAACAAAACAAAAAGTCTTTCCCACACCCTAGAAGACCCTGCCAGGCCTCCCGGAGGGACACGCCGACCGCCAAGCCGCTTCGGGCCTTGCTGAGGCAGGGAGGGCATTGGTTTGGGGTTTAGGGCTTAGAGTTTAGGGTTTAGAGTTTAGGGTTGGAAAGGGATTATGGATTTAGGGATAGGTTTAGGGCTTCCGGCTTTTCAGCAGGCTTTAAGGTTGAGGGGGTGTAACAATCAAGGACTTTGGGGTTCTAGGGCTTGGATTCACGGTTCGGGTTTACGGTTGGGCCCTGGGGGATTTTAGTGGCAGAGGGTTCTGGAGATCAGGAGTTGGTCTTTCTGGTTTCGGTGCTTTAGGGTGTGGCTTTGAGGTCTATAGGGCTTTAGGGGATTCAGGAGTCGGGGTATAACCGGTTGAACCTAACGTTCATGAATTACAGTTGCGTTTCGTAACAGAACTGGCTAGGTTTGGGATGCAAATTTAGGAGCTACGTACAGCTGTCTAGCTCATACTTGAGTGTAGGTCTGTCGGAGTTGTACGCAAAGCCAGCAAAGCCAGTGTACCCGATTGTCAAACCTAAACCTGAAACAGGCGGGACCATGAAGCTTCGCATTCCCTAAGGGTCCAAGGACCCAAATAATGGGGTCCCTTTGCAAGGGGATAAAAGGGGGATATATAGAGGTATTAGGGGATTATATAGGTGTATAAAGGACCCAAATAATGGGGCTTTAGGGCCCAAATACCATTAATATTCTAGTATTTGGGCCCTAAAATCCTATTATTTGGGTTCTTGGACCCTTAGGGATTGCTGGACATCCAAAAGTTCGAATTTAAGCCCGCAATGCACTTCCATCGTCGTCCGCTGCCCGAAACCCGAAATCCAACGCACCACGTCCTCTTTCCAGCATCATAACCCTAGACCGCTAGGAGAGACACTGAAGTAGAACCCCCAATATGTCACGAGATACTACTCCCTAAACCCTAAACCCAAAATAGTAATTTCCACTTTCTTTTCCATTATCCTTATATAACCCCTACATGGGTACCCCAAACCCAAAATAGTAGCTTCCATGTTCTTTTCCATTATCCTTATATAACCCCTATGGGTAATTTCATCCTACCAGGGTTGCAGGATTCTTGCTGCGCAGGCGGTGGCGAGGGGTCTTTGCGACATTATGGCAGAGGCCGTGCTGTGTTTCGAGGATTGATACGGGCGTCTATTGCTTGCAAGAGGCCTTTGGGGGAACTTTTGGGGTTCAGGAATTAGGGGCTTAGGGTTAGGAGTTTGAGGTTCAGGGTTTAGGCTTAGGGTTTTGTCAGTGTTGGGTTAGGGGTTTAGGGTCTAGGAGTTGGCTCTAGGGGTAGAGGTCCTTTGGGCAGCTTAGGGAGAACCTGGTAGTCTTGAGCATTACCACCTACCACCCTTGAACCACCCCCCACCCCAGAGCCTAAGCTCTTGAACCCTGGGCCTCTAAACCCCAAGCACTCAAACCTTAACCCCTGAACCCCTGAACCCTAAAGTGTCCAGTGAGAATCACCAGGCTGGTCGGCCTCGGGCGTGACCCACGTCAAGTTTTAGCGCAGACTGATGGGTTGGCGGGCTTTCTACGGCATTGCGCCTGTGTAAAACAGTTTAGGGTTAAGGGCCTGAGAAGAAACAGCTCTTCATGCACAATGCCTACAGATCCATCAAATAGGAGGACCTAAACGCTGAACCCGATTCTGAGGATCCAATTTTCACGGACCTTGAACGAGGACCTGGCGCCTGTGGACCCACCGGAGTAGGGCTTTAAGGTGTGGATACTACAGCCCCCAAATAAGAGCAAGATTCAATCCTCCTCTTCCTTGCAATGGTTTATGAAAAGAATATCATCTAGTTGGTTTAGCTAGCAAACTAAACACTATTGTACCCTAAACCCTGAACCCTAAGCCGGCCCCCACCAGCATGAGCGAAAAAGCTAAACCCCAAACCCAACAGGCGGAAAAGGTCCCTCCCCAACAAAGCCTAGGGCTATTTGGGGCTTTCTGGGGGAAGGGTTTGGGCTTTGGGGGCTAAGGTTTGGGGGATCCTGTTCTGAGGGTCCAGGAGCTGTAGGGTAAACCCTAAACTCCTAAACCCTAAGCCCTAAACTCCTAAAGCCTCAACCGTACTGTGATTACCTACCTCATGCAGAGGCAGGCTCTGCACCAGTTCGCTGCGCTCTGCAAGCCAAAGAGGCAGGAAATCACAGGTTTTAGGGTTTTTGATTTAGATTTGCCCCTCCTCCAAACCAACATGGGGCGTATGGTCTAAACTCCACAAAGGGGGTCCCCTCATGCTAACATGGAACCTAAACAGTAGCCCCAGAAAGACTACTGTCCTTGTGGGGCTCCTTTGTGGGAAGGTAGAGATTAGGCTACACCATTTGAAAGGTTTAGGGCTGAGGCTTTGGGGATTTGAGTTTGGAGTTGAGAGTAGGTTCAGGGTTCAGGGTTTCTGGGGCCTGGGATTTGGGATGTAGCGGTTGCATTTGGCGCACAGGTTAGTTGTAGAGGCGAAATTAACTTCATGCATACACATACATCCATACGTGTACATACATACAGACATACATACGTACCTACATATACGCATACATGCATACATGCACCCATACATGGATGCATACATACGTTTACGCATGCAAGTATGTATGTATGTATGTATGTATGTACGTACATCAGCAAGGTTGTTAGGGATGGTGTTTCTTCTGAGGAAATGGAGTACAACATGTGCAGGCTTTTGCGGGCAGGAAACAAGAAGAGGCTTTATTGGCAATTTAGACACTATGTGTGTTAACTGTTATTACCGCTTTTGCCTTACCACCTCTCCCGCCACTCTTACTACTATCACTACTAATACATCCAGCGGTGTTTTTCTAGAGTCCACAATCTGCGAGCATAATGGAGATAAAGCAGGTTGTGTCCAAAGCAAGGTCATCTTAGAACCCCATTCTGGAGTGTGCCGCATTCAGAGTGGCATCATGCCGGGCATTAAATCTTTGCCGAAAAAGAAGGTGTCATAAGTTTGACAGGCCACACATATGGTCATGTTTGGAGGTCTAGTAACTTCATTGTCGTCGTCGAGGAGGTACAATGTGGATGTAACACGCATGATGTCTCAAGCTTACCCTTGTCTTCAGCTGTCTTGTGATTGATGAAGGAGGACCTTTCTTACGAAAATGCCAAGCACATGAACAAGAAGTTTTAAAGTGGGGCTCAAGGTTCGTATGCATGAGGCAGCTGGAGAAGGAGATGGAGGTCCCTTTGCTCGAGAGCTTTTTGAACCCTTGAGCCCTTGGTGTCCTGGAGTCCTATACTTAGGCCTGCTATCTTCCTGCGCTTTTTCACGTGACTCGTCCATGATTCAAGTATATAGCGGGCATATAGGGTATCTAGGGTTATATTAGGTAATATGAGGGTTATATAGGGTTACATAGGGGTATATAGGAGAATGGAAAAGATCATGAAAACTAGTTTTCCCTTGCTCCTGACATGAGTTGAGAAGGCAGCGCTCCTTGTCCTGGTTCATACTCATCAAGGGCGGGTCTGGCTTACTTACCCCTATCATGGTCCTTGTATTGATGGCAGTTAGAAAAGCCATTGCTAAACATTCCTAGGCCTTGAACCTTACACACTCAGCCCTGACCCTCTGTAGGGTTTCTTAATATCAAACGCGCTGGGGCCCAAAAATTCTTGGGCCCCCTAGAACCTACCGCAGCAATCCCTTGTACAGGACCTGGAGCCCAATCCGGGCTTTGTGGCACTGGCAGGGCCAGGTGTGCAGAACTCAGTTCAATCATCTTGCATGGTCTTGCATTTAGGGAGCAAGGTCCATAGTCCCCCTTAAGTAGATAGAATATGGCTTCGGGTACATGACAATAAGATCCCTATGTACCCCATATTCTATCTACCTAAGGGGGACTATACTCCCTAAACCCTAAACAGTAGTTTCCATTTTGATATTATCCCAAAATAACCCCAATACAACTTAAGGGGGACTATAGGTGCTTGAGCTGTCCGAGGGTTGCAGCAGAAGTCTGAGAGCTCCGGGGATTTGAGATGAAGGGTTCAGGTCTGCGGGTGTTTGGCAATGGGGTTTGGGGAAAACTCATGTGGAATGTAGGACTTAAAGCCTTATCGATTCAGAATTGCTGCCAGGGTGGTGGGTGGTGAGGTCATTCTGTGACGAATGTCAAACTCCAGCAAGCTGCATTTCTGAAGCTGTAAAGTCTGAGAGCTCACACACCCGAGGGGTGTGAAAAGCGCATCCTTTCAAAGCTGCCTGCTTTGCCAAGTTTTCCGCGCTGGCAGCAGCTGCTGGCGGTCGTCGATCCGAGGTGCACTTAGCAAAGCCTATTCTAGCCAGCATTGCAGGGATGATTCGGCTCATTCTTGACTGGCTTGGGATTGTATACAGCTCATTATTGATTACTTTGGGATTGTTTTGCACTAAAGTCAGGTAAGGAATATGGAAACGTAGTGTCCAAGACGATCCCAACACAGAACCAGGATTGGCGGGCTCTGCGTGTGGGATGGTACTGGCCTTTTGTCGTTGTCCAAGTAGCCGAGTAGCTAGCTGTTCATGCGCCGCAAAGGTGCTAACCTTGAACGATTTTTGGGATGGTCTATATTCCTGCCAGAATTAAACACCTGACCTGTGTTGGGCCAGGGATTTGTGGCTCAGGTTTCAAGTCTACACTCCCGAAACAGACATGGAACTTGCAAAGGAGCCCTACAAAGGCGGCCAGCCTTTCTCAAAGGAGGTTATATGAGCTGCAGTTATAGTATACCTTGAAGGGGATTGTATAGGTGAGTATATAATGGAGAATTATAGGGGGTCATTAAGTGTGATACCAGGAGTTTAGACTATAGCTCATATTGGCTCAATATTCGTTTCGAGTTGTGAAAATTATGGTCTCTTTTTGCGTCAGTGTTAGGGCTGCATTAACAGTCCCCGAGCGGACGGGGGAAAGGGGCTAAAGGATTCCAAGCTTGGTTCCCTTAATACAAGTTCTGGTGGTTGTGGCCTGATGTAGAGTGCAGCAAGTAGGTGGTGCAGAACCCCCAGGACTATCTTGTGCTCAGTCAGGCATGAGGGTACGGATCCCTCCATAGGTCCTTTTATGACCACTAAAACAATCCCTATGGTTTAGTACTTACGGTCTAGGACCCTGATCCCCAGACACCCTACACCCTTAGCCCTTTGGTAGCCTTTTTTCCATTCCCCTAGTAAACACCGGCGAGACGAATGCCCTCAAATGAGCCATACTCTAAACTCCTTAAAGGGGATTATATAGGGGAGCGTTATGGGGCTTATTGAGGGGGATACAAGAGGTTTAGGCCCTAAACCCTAAGCCCTATATTATATGGGCTTCTTACCTGGGGATACACAGAGCTTAGACTATGGCTCAAATGTATACCGTCCGTAGCGCAGGACGTGGAAGACTCCGATCCCGACAATTTCTCAGATGCCGACGGCGAGGCGACGATTTGGTTGGGGTCTAGGGGTTTGGGGGTTTATATACCGTCTAGGCGTTTAGGTTTAGGCGTTTAGGGTTAGGGGTTTAGGGTTTAGGGGTCTAGGGTTTAGGGTTTAGGGGTTTAGGGTTACTAGTAGGGGTTTAGGGGTTAGGGTTTGTAGTCCCACTTAAGTAGATAGCATATGGGGTATATGCGATCATGATATTGGGCAATTTCATATTCTACCTACTTGAGGGGGACTACAGGGTCGAAGGAAAAACCTTAATCCAAAACCCTGAACAGTAAACGCAAGTCCTAGACTCTCAACGGGACACGGGACCAAAACCCAAAATGAAAACCCTGAGCTGTAAACACAAGTCCGAAACTGGTTCATTCCTGTATTTGAATAGAACCAAAACTGGAATTCAGTAAGTCTAGCCAAGACGTCCTACCTTTGCTGGAAAATCCCCTGACAAAATGTAGGACAAACGCCAGAAAGGGAAGGACCTACATCGTCAGAAATCATAGCTGCGTATGCCTGGCTGGATTTTAGTGCAAGAAAAGCTAGAAACGTCACCTCAAGAACCCTAAACCCTTGTGGATTTACGGTTGAGGGTTCTGCGGTTGAGCCAACCATTTGGAACGGTTCAGGGCTTCCAGTTCAGGATGCAAGCAGGATAAATTGAGGGTTGCAATCCGGGTCACAGTCTATTGGTTTTGTGCTAGCTTCAGTTGTTCAAGCTTCAGAGCTTCATCATTCTCATGTTGTTAGTACAGTTCCCACTGATACTGCTGCTTCTTTGACTGGTCTTGTCATGTTAGTACAGTTCCCACTGATACTGCTGCTTCTTTGACCGGTCTTGTCATTCGGACAAACTTTTCGCATTGGTGCAAATGGCTTGTTTACCGCCAGCTTGAAGCCTAAAGAGCTGCCCCACTGCCTCGTAATCAAAAAAGATATCTCGCACTGGAGTATGGATCCCTGCTTCTTTGGCAGCATCCTCCTCTAAAACCCTAAAGCCTTCAAGCCTTAGTTTGCACGTCTTGCATAAAGCCTTAAGCCCTTAAACCTGAAACCCTAAACTCCAAGCCCTTAAACCCTAAACACTCAACCATCAAGGGGGCATAGTATTCGACTGAAGCTTCCCGAAAATTTGGGACTCCCAAGAATACCATGAGACCTTGGACTCCCTGCAAGGCTCATCATCCTAAATGAGCCATAATCTACACTCCATAGAGGGAAGGTATATGAACTACAGTCTAAACTCCTTAAAGGGGAGTTCTAGAGGGGATCATATAGGGGACTACTATAGGGCTTATCAGGGGGGATACTAGGAGTTTAGACTATAGCTCATATGAGAAATTAGATAGGGGACTCCTATAGGGGTTTTTACGGGGATACGAGGAGTTTAGACTTTTGCTCGAGCTACGCCTGAAACTGCGGGCGCCTCATTTCTGAACGGCGAGACCCAAACCCAAGTGCTAAGCACCCTGACTCCGTGTCAGATTGGATACTAAACTCTCAAAAGAGACTCTAGTAAGATTGCTGTTGTACATGAGGTCCATGCTACTTGGATAAGGGTTGACTTTATGGCATTTCTGTATAAGCCTTCGCCCCTATGTCCCAGCAATCCCCATACACTCTAAACCCCAAGCGGTTCGCTGTTAATTGTGGGTAGGGAAGTGGCATATCCCAGCTTCCATCCTTTCGTGTCTCGCTTCTGCTTTGGTCTTGGTCAGTGCATGTGAAAGTTTCTTGACATTATGGACCCTTGCTGGTACGAGTTATAGTAATAATACGCCACGAAGGTTTCTGGCGGATGCCAAATGAGACCGCCACTTTGAAGACTACTGGTATATGGGAGGCTGGTGAGGCTATGTACGAGGCAATTGTTTTCGGATGACATACTCGCGTGTTTTCAGCCCTCCTCATGCTCAGGATGATTGGTGAGCACCACATGCGCGGTGACATGCGCAAGTCGATTGCAAAAGACCTTCGGGGTGCATGTGGGTATTGGTCTAAATTCCCTATAATACGGGGTCCTATATTTGGGTTCCCATTATAGTACGGGGCCCTATATAAATTTCCCCCATTTTGGGAACAGTAATTTAGGGAAACTACCATGTCTATAGTCTTTGAACGCCAAATTTTTCAGCACAATTGAAGCATCATAAGTTGTGCAAGATCTGCCCACTCAACAACATGCTGGGTCCAACTGTTCTTTGATGATCATTTTGCTAGTCTGAGGGTCCAAACTTCTCGGTGACTTTTCAGCGCGAGGGAGGACAAGAAGAGACAGACAGAGAGAGGCAGGCAGGCAGACAGGCAGAGAGAGATAGAGAGGGAGGCTAGGAAGGAGGGGAAGAATCAGGAGGAAGAAAGGGCCCGAAAATGATCAGTTATTGTCATTATTACCACTATTATTTTGACTGGTACTATTATTCCTATTCTTACTATGATTACTGTTGCTTGGTGTGTTGATGTCTGGCCTGGTGCTACAGGGCTTTTTTTCGCTCGTGACCCTCTCAACCCTTGTGGCTAATTCTGCGGGGATGGCCCGGAAGGGTCTAGGCTCCTAGAGTAGACCTTAGGTGGACTTGGGTTTAGGGTTTAGGGTAGGTGGACCCCCCACCCTGTAATAGTGGCATAGCAAGATAAGAGGACCCCAATATAATCACCACTATCCCTTATAGTCACTGTTACTGGGTGGGGGTCCCCTACGGTAGCCCCCGTATAATCCCAGTTTCCAGTTCATGCTCCATTTTCACATTTGATTCTCAGAAAGCCCAAGGCAATCCCAGTTTCCATGTCATTTTCCAGTTTCTCTTAAAGTTGATTCGCAAATATTGGGGGCAATGATTATCCTTTAGGCCCTAAGCCCCTACTATTTCCAATCATTATCCCCAAGCCCTAAACCCTAAACCCCTATTATCCCCCATCATTGTCCCTAAACTCCAGATCCTAAATAGTAGGATTACGTCCCCAACCTACCCCCCGCACCCAGAGAGTTTTGATGCCTTGAGCCGTCCGATCCTTCCGTCTAGGAAAGCCTCAAAGACTTTGCTTTGCAAAAGTTGTCTTTTAAATTGAGACTTTGAAGGCCGAAGGTATTGGTACCTGTTTTGCCGCAGAAATGCGGAATATGGATTTCAATGCTTGTGAATCTACATGAGCCATAGCGTAAACTATCCCTCGTAAGAACGCCCATAATGCTCCCCTATATAATCCCTTATATACCCCCTCAAAGGAGTTTAGACTACAGCTCACATAAGCAAAGAAGTCCTCAAACTGGGACGGGGCCACAGGGCTTTTGGCGGTCTGGCGGCTCAAATCTGCTCAGCGGAAGTGCCTGGGTGAGCCTCTCAAACCTTTTTGGGCAGTCGCTGCTTCTGCCTTCAGAATGCCGTGCCATGGAGACATCTCCTCGTCAGATGACGGCGTGGGGGTTGCAGTGGTGAGCTATAAGCTTCCGAGGCTCCACACCACTGCTGAGGCGGTTTAAGGGTTTAGGGCTTAGGGCTTTTTAGCACTTAGTGTTTAAGATGTCAGGCTTGTGGTTTGGGCTTGAGGTTTTCCGGGTTATGTACAGGGCATAAGCAGAAAATTGACGTACTTGGGGGCTTTGAGTCCGTGCTGGGGCCCATCTAAAGCCTGAAGTCTCAGCCCTTAACCCAAAGCCGCAAGCCCTGAACTGCGCCCACAGCAGGTGCTAGCAAACTGCCAGAAGATTGCAGAGATGATCGGGGGCATGAAGGTGGGCCTATATCCAATAAAATTCCCGAGGAGCACTCTTAGCGTTCCACGTTCGAATGGGGGGTATGCCTCAGCCTTGCGCCCTCACACTGAAGCCAGGTATGTAAAACACTCACGTGCACCTTAACTCGTTTGGCTTCAGGCTTATACCCGCCTTTCGGTATTTTTCCCTTTCAAAGCACATTCGGTACCCCAACAAGGTGCAGGGCATAAGCTTCCGAAGGAACCGAGGCCCTAAACCCCCAAACTTAAAAGGGGCTGTAGTCAAAGCTCCTTAAAGGGGTTACATATGGGAAAAGCTAGACAGATTAAAAGGGTTATTTTACGGGCGATACTAGGAGTTTAGATTATAGCTCACACACGAATTAAAGCTTCAACTACGCGCTACCCTTGAGAAACATCTACTCCAAGCCCTTAAACCCCAACCCTAACTCTTCAGCCTTAAAATCTCTTATTAGCCCTAAACCTTCCTTTAGGTTGCATGGTTTAGGGTTGCTTCAAACTTTGGACTCCTGAACACCAAGCCGGTAATCGCTGGAGCCTTAGTACTGAGGCCGATAGGCATTGAGCATAGGGGAGCTTTTGAGAACAGCTTTTTGGGATCCAGGTAGGAACCCCCTTGTAGTCCCCAGGGGTAGGGTTTGGGGTTTAGGGTTTACGGCTTAGGGGTCCCCAAGTCTAGGGGATTTGGGGCTGGGGGTTTAGGGTTTAGGGTTCAGGGCCAGATTTTGAACAGCCGCAAATGCATCCCAGCACCTGGACCCCTATATTGGAGACCCTAACCCCTGTACCTTGTAATCCCAAAGCCCGAATCCTTGTAATGTCTCCATCTAGTCTAATCCCTAATCCCCAACAAGAAGCCCAGACCCTAAACCTGAATTCACAAGCCCCAAAACCAAACCCCTAACCCCAAAACTCCAAACCCTAGTCCCTAAACCCTAACCCCAATCCCCAACCCTTAACCCTAAACCCTTAACCCCAAACCCATAAACCTCACAGGTGGGACTGCCAGGCATGGATCTGGTTGTATTCCCGGAGTGCAGCACCCAGGGAGTGATGTACGACCCTAAGGACTTCTACTTAGGGTTTAGAGTTTAGGGTTTAGGGTTTAGGGCTCAAGGCTTTTTTCTAAAAGCTTCAGGCATGAGGATTTGGTGGTTCGGGGGGTAATTGAGGGTTATACGGGTATTTTTTCGGGTTTAGGCTTTGGGGGTTCACTGAGGTTATTATCTTCCGAGGCTTGGAGTATGGAGTTTAGGTTTAGGGTTTAAAGTCTAGGCCTTTAGGGTTCAACGTCCCAATGCTTTTGAATGAAGCAGCAAGCTTGGCATAATACAGCGTTTCCGGCTACGAACATATATGGGTTCCCAAAAAAGGGGGGGTACCATTTTCGGGGTACCTTAAAAGGATTCTAGTATTTGGGGGTCTATATTGTCCATTTTTTGGGGGGGAAACTACCATAATTATAATTTAGGATGTTGTTTCTATGTAGCGGTGCTGTGGCTTCAGTCGTTTCTGATATCACTCTCGATCGATCGACATAGAATCTGCCAGGAGCTCCTTGAGACAGCGGTGACAATCCCTGGGCCCGAAACCTCAATCCTGCAGGAGGCATGCAAGAAGAACAAGGCCGACAGTCTCCAATATTAGGGTCTTAGCCCTGCGCACCCAATATGGGGAATGCAAAGGACGAAATGGTTAGAAGTAATATCCCCTGACAATAGCCATGCAAGCATAGTGTAGCATACCCCAAAAGCGCAGTCTAGCAATTTAGGCCCCTGCATTATGTGAGCTGTAGTCTATACTGCTTGAAGGGGGTTATATAGGGGATTATATAAGGGAGCATTATAGGACTTATTAGTACAGTAGGGCGATATCAAGAGTCTAGACTATAGCTCATATGAATCGGGCTCGAACTTGGCTCACAACCCAGGTCTGGGGAGTGTTTTCTCTCTGCGGCGAGCGTCATGAAGAACATCCCAACAAGAACCTGGGTTGCGACTGGGTTTTTAGGGGTATATCAGGTTCTATAGTGGTTATATATTTGGTTGCTGTTGAGGAACTCAAATTAAGTTGCCACAATGGGTATATATATGTGGTAAATAATATGGTTTCCTCAAAATAGTGACTTAAATTAAGTTCCTTAACAGCAACCCAGGAACCCCTACAACACACTCATCCTCGTGGATGATGAAGGTCGGATCGTGCAGAAGTATCGCAACTTGGACAGCAAGAACTCATGAGATAATACTGAGGTGTAGTACAGGAGCATAAATAGCTGCCAGTATCTGGCCCTAGCCTCCTTAAGCAGTTACAGTATATTGTACCGTACATAGACCTGAAAAGGGTATTAGTACTGATTCAGATTTTTACGTTAGTCTTGGAGTTTTTAGGCTGGAGCCACTGTAGGAAGAGTATTTGCTGAAAGTGGCTGCAACATCCTTGCTGCACAAGGCCTTCATTACCCATCCACGAAATCCTTCTCATGGCTGTGGCTTGATGCAAAGTTTAAGCCCTCGACCCTAAGCCCCAAACCCCTAGTTGAGGGTTTAGCGTTCTCGCGGCGCCAACATTGTGCTCAAGAGCGCGTCCGGGGCTGGTATTCAAGAGCAAGGATGTGGGAAACATGTGCAGACAGCTAAGTACGCTAGGAACATTGATTCCAAGGGCCTACCTAAATCGCACTTAGCCAGTCAAGGGTAGGATTAGGGATACCCTTTGAGCAGGTTGCCTTCTAAGAAGCCTTCTATCTTCCTTTCAGTTCCCTTTAAGGGGACCATACGCAGAGCGCATATCTCCTCCAGAGTCCACTCATTCCCAGAAAGGTAAGATTATGCCGTGGTGTCCCATCGAGGGGACCTACCCCGGAGACAAGACCTACGTCACCGATGGTCCCAAAGGTTTGAAGGTATCACTCATCATCTGCGATGATGGCAACTACCCGGCATCCTGGTGGTATATTCTGTCGAGTTGTTGATGAACCCTAAATCCTAAGCCCTAAAACCCTAAACCCCAAACCCTAAGCCCTAAACCCTAAGCCCTAAACCCCTGTTGGCCTAGGGATAAGATGCCCTGAATGTTACAGTTCGACCCTTCATCCCTTAGAGGGACCCCTGTACCCTCCTGCTTGTTTCTTGTTTTGCGAATCGCCTCAGTGGGTTTAGGGTTTAGGAGGTTAGGGTTTAGGCTTTAGGCTTTGGTAGACTGTGTAGGTCTTTCAGTTCCAGACATGAAGGGAGCTGTTTGAGAGAGGGAAGGGTAGATTTGGGACTTTCTCAAGCATGTCCCCGTTGAATTCTTAAAGAGGATTCCATAAACCTCATTTCTTCCTGGGGTCTCTCAGGGTACCCCTTCTTGAGAAGTGCCCTTTTGCATGCTTAAAACACCCTAAACCCTCAACCCCAAATCCTAAACCTTGCAGAGAGAGCGCATTGCCGAGATCGGGTAAGATGCCCTCCCTGCGTACACTGAGGCTCCCACGCTTACCCGGGATTACAGGGATTATAGGGATTATATGGGGGTTATATAGGGTTTATGTTGGGGTTATATTGGGATAGTGGAAAAGAAAATGGAAACTACAATTTAGCTCGGGAACGCTCGAAGCTAGATCCCAGATGAGGAAATCTGGAGGGATTGTGCGATGAAGGGCGCGGAGCTCATCGTCCGCGTGCAGGCATACATGTATCCAGCCAAGGAGCAACAGGCAGAACAATTCAAATGGTGAAGGGCTGCGAGGGTGAACAGTTTTAGCTTGGGGGGCTTAGGGCGGAACCTCAACAGTCACCAACAATAAAGAATCGAATGGAAAAGGCAGTGTAAAATCAAAAGGAAAGCGGGTGCATGTGGTTTATAGGGAAGAAGTACCAACACTATGAAACCCTGGGCCCTAAACCCTAGGGGCAAGGCTTGGGATCTCAAGTTTTAAGCGCCCTTCACTGGAGTTATGATCATCAAATGAGGGTGTACAGAGTAGTCTGTGCTGCCTGCAAGTAAGATCCAAGACCCATTGAAGAAGTCTGATTTGCAGGAAACCAGGAAACATTCTTTCCCGCATAGCCCTCATATAAGTTCAGTATAAGGCACCCCACGCACTCGAACAATAGTAGTTATTGTCAAGGCTAAGACTTGGAGAGCCTTGCCCTCTAGGTGATCATGGCCAAAGCAATGGCCTGGGCCAACAACAGCTATGTGGCGATCGCCAATGCGACTGGGTTTGACGGGGTGTACTCCTTCTTCGGCCGCTCATCGATCATTGGCTTCGATGGCCGGACCTTGGGCGAGACCGGTGAAGAGGAGAATGGCATCCAGTATGCCTCCCTTTCCAAGTTCCTTACTTAGCCAATAGAAGAATGCTGATTTATTGAGTTCTACTTTAGTATCCGGGGCTAGATCCTACGATATTCATTTCGCATCCTTGCTGTCGTTCCTAAGCCCTATCCTCCGGGTCCGGAGCTGAGGGATTGGAGTGTTTAATTCACGCACGTGTATAGGATGCCCCACGCAAATACGCTGGGGGCATGCTGTGGACAACGAAGCGCTTCAACCTTTTTGGGCTTCCTTCTTGGGTCTCTAAAAAACTTAGGGTTGTTGAGCGCTGGTTATTGGAGAAGAGAGGTTCCTGATACGTGACTTCCGCAAGAACGCCCAGTCGCAAAATCATCTCTACAAGCTGCTGCATCGGGGATATACGGCCATGGCTAAGAGCGGCGAGTCCAACGATGGGACTGCAGATTGCCCCTTCGACTTCTACCGCAAGTGGGTAACAGCCCCTGGTGCAGCCCAAAGTGATGTGGAGAGCATCACCCGCAAGAGCCCTGGCACTGTGGAGTGTCCTATTGAGGGTATTCCATTGGCCAAAAAAGCGCGCAAGTGCGTTGATGATGCGACAGATGCCAGGAAGGGTGGCTCATGAAATGAGCTCTCGAACACCACAGGCGGCATATTGCACAGCCAGGAATGGGGTTGAGGGGGGTGGGCAGCAGTGGCCCGGAATCGTTGACGTCAGTACCCCCTTGCCCCCAATCCAGCCAACGTCCTGGCTCTTGCTTCTGTAAAGGATGTACAGGACCCATATCCTGAGGTCGCAAGCATGGCCTGCAGCGTACAGGTGCAATGCCGCCAGCGGGGTACTTTAGCAGGATAGAAGTTCGGCCTTTGAAAAATGACTGGTATTGAACATATGAGCCAGAGTCTAAACTCCTCAAAGGGGATTATGATCAAGGGGATTCTATAGGGTACTAACTACAATAGGGAATATTAAGGGGATATTAGGTTGCAATGATATCGCCCATCCTCTTGTCCCTACCAGTAAATACACCCCACACCTAAGATTGCAATGAACCATTGTACGGGGGCGCAGAAGAAGGCGAATCGTACAATGCTGCACAAAATAATTCCAACACATTTTTCTCAAAGTGTGGTCACATTTTGGGGTTCTATATGTCTAGCAAATCAGAGTTAAACTCTTTCAAGATTTTGGAGTCATAATATGGCTATAGGACTATAACCTTCATTTTTAGTCGCTCGCCAACTGCTTGAGATCCCGGTCGAATATTTGGATCGCGGCCTCTCCTCCTTTTAACTTCGTCTAAATCTTGAATCCCAAATATCCTATACCTACTGCCTAAAGGTTCCGAAGGCTGAAAAGGGGTCCCTACGGGAATAAGCTAGAAGCAGAGGTCCTGTGTTCTGCATGGCCCTGAGCACTCAGTCTGCCTCCCTTGGCTTCCATGTTCTGGCACCGAAGTGTCAGCGATGCCTTCTGAGAGCTTTGGGTTTAGGGCTTAGAGCTTGGGGCTTATAGGGCATATAGGGTTCAGGCCTTAGGGTTCAGGGCCTAAAGTTTTTGGTTGACGGTTGCAGGCTTTGAGGTTGTTGGGGCACCTAGCGACGAAGGAGGAAGAGGGAGGCTGGCTCTACGTCTATAATTTAGCCTGCAAAAACATACATCTTGCAGGGTCCTGCGACCCCTAAGCAATAGAGGCCTTGTAAATAGCAGATTACGATAGGCGGAGACACAGCTGCGCGGGACTTCACAATTGGAGTCTAAGGGTTCCGGTTCCGGTGCAGCACCAGGTTTGGTCATTAGAGTTTAGGGATGTGGGGCCCTATAGCCTCAACTCGCCTCCACATGAAGTAAGATGTGGGGAGTGGTTCCTGGCTTCAGCAAGAAGCTACTATGCAACTAGTGTAGAGGATAATCGACAGTCTGTTCCTGTCGAGGCATTCTTCTACTTACAGTGTATATATATATATATGCCATATGTATATATATATATATACACGCCACAGAGCCCTATGCTAACTAAGCCTCCTAGACTAGTACATTCAAGATGCTTGCCTCTAATGCACATACACAAAGAGTACCTGCCTTGGCGTCGACTTTATCAGTAGAACCTGCCCATAGACCGAACGCGACACGACTCGGTCAAATCAAACGGCCTTTGCCGTGCTATTTGGGGGTTGAGAGGGCTTTAGGCTCTTTTTCAACTGTAGGGTGGGTTTTAGCGGTGTTTAGGATTGTTTGTTGTATGTGGCTTAGTGGCATGAGAGGTTAGGAGTTTTGTTAGGGGCTCGTGCTTCGGGATGTTTACGGATTGAGTTCTTGGATTGGAGGTGCAGAATTTTACGGTCTGGGGGGTTGCGCGTCGGGGCACCGCAGCAACGGTGTGTTGCCGTCTTAGGGGACCAGGGCTCGAAACCCACCGAAGCCCTCATCCCTTCTGACACACGGGCACGAGACCCGTGCGTCCCACGTTAACCGAACAGAACTTCATGGTGCCGAGGCGTAGTTTGCTTGTCTTGCTGACAGAGGCCTCGTTAGAATCAAAGGAGGCGGGGCCTCTGACGGACGAACTCTACGCCCAAGGCTTCTCAGCCGTGACCGTCCCCATCGGCCCTGGCGTGATCCTGGCGATTGTCATCTTGATCGTGCTCCTTGCAGTGCACGAAGGCTTTGTCGCTGCTGGGGCAAAGCCGCTTCTTGCAAATCACGAGAAGCCCAACAGCCTACCGTTGCAATGCACCTTTGCGACAAATTGGCTTCTGATGATGGTGACTCTTTCAATGCTCGTGCCGGACTCTCTGGATTACGCACTGGCCATGGGACACTCCGCCACTGCCAGCGGAGTTTTCCTCAGTGCGCCCTTTATTCTTGCAATGCTTGGCACGATTTGGGGGAGACCTCTCACAAACGAAGTGCATTGGGATCAACGATTCGCCCGATTTTTGTGTGTGGGCTGCCAGGGGTTAACAGTTGCTGGGAGCCTTACTCTGGCATTCTTGATGCAAGCGGCCTCCCACTGGACTGATTCGACGAAACAAACCTCCTTCTGGTGTTTCCTGCTTGTCAGTGGCGCGAGCCAATTCTTTAACGCTGTTCCGATCGTGGCCTGGGCCACCATGTGGAATGTCGTCACCCCCAACAGCCAGAAGACGATCTGGAGCATGATCACCATCGCCTGTCGCCACTGTGGCATGGTTGTGGGCCCCATGGCTTTCGCAGCCCTCAGTTTTTGGGTGCGGAGGGGGCGCGACATTTCTCCGATCAGCATGATGGGCTGGTCCTACGTTGGCCTGGCTATGTTTCAAGCTCTGGTGCCTAGGACGCAAGGGTAGGCATGTGCCCTGATTGGTTGTTGCTTTAGGCGTATATGGCGTACTTTTGAGCCCAGGCGTTGACAACCGCGTGCCTTTGCTTGCCGACGGTGGTGTCTCCTCCAACGGAAGATCGAAAAAGTGTGACTGAGGATGAACCATTGGAGCTGAGCCCGGAGGAACATGCTGCGACATGGACCAAAAAGTTGTTTTCGCGTTTGGGATTTAGGTTTCAGGCCCGGTAGATAATCCTCAAAAAGAGGTGCTCTAGAATCATACCTAACAGGCGCGTTCTAGATGGTAGCCTTGTGAAGCTACCTTTCCCTAGTGGCCCCCTGGTCTTTAGGAAAAGTGCAGGAGCTGGCACCAGAGTCGCGACAGGAGATTGTGAGGAATATCATCATGTACTGCTATGAGCGGCCCTTCACTGTCGCCGCCGTCGAGGTCTCCACAATGATGCTCTTAGAAGTGCAATATGGGTGGTCGAAAGAAGCCTGCGGAGCTTCCTTCGTGATGATCGGCGTGGCCACGGTGGCCACCACCATCATCTCCACCATTCTGGTGAGCAGGAAGTGGATCAGAGAGTCCTGGCTCTTCCTGGGATCCGCTTTAATCTCCCTCTCCGGCGTCTTCCTGCTCTTTGACTGGAGGCTCCTGAATGGGGCCTTCGGGGGCTCCTCCCTTCTCTTCGCCGACTCCTTGGTCTACGCCTTCTCCGGCGTCTCCAACGGCATCGCGCAGGGCTGGGCCGCCCGGGCGGCCATGAAGGGCACCAAGTACGACATCCAGACCTACCGGGTGCAGAATCTCGCCTGTTTTTTCCTCATACAATTTAGAAGCTTTCTACATGTCATAACTACAGATCCTTCACAATTCCAAGTATGGTAAAGTAACTAAGTTACACTTACTTTTGTTCGAGCAGGCACCTCCGTAGTCTTAAGGGTCTGAGGAACATGGCTGCGGTCCAGATCAGCCGGTTCCTGGTCCCCGTCCTCACCCGTTTCATCGTCGATTTCGGAGGCCCCTACGTCTCTGCAGATTCAGCCCCAAATCTGAGACCCTAAGCCCTTATAAAACCGAAGCCCTTACAAGCCCTAACCCTAAACCTCGATTTCGGAGGCCGGAATGTCTACGCCCTGGTTCAGCTACTCATGTGCGCCATGGGCACCTCCACAGTCTGGCGAACCGTCAGCCTGGTCTGGCGGGGCGAGGATGGACAGAGCCAGAAGGCTGCCAAGAGTTCAGGCTGCGATCCTGTATGATATAGGGCTTCTTCATTCATATAAAGTTACTAGAACAATACACCCCGAAACCGTCTTCGAATAGTCATGTAATTTTGGGGTACCTTCATACAGATATACTACAATCTACCCCAAGAGCCTATTCTAATGATGAAGGAAGGTGGCTGGATTAGAACGCCTGGCAGTGGAAGGAAGCACAGCAGCTTTAGACTGAGCACAAACAGGTGGCCAGTGCCAACCAGTCTGCAAAGCTGTCGCGGGGGACGGAAAAGAAAGGCCTTGCATCTCATGTATAGCCTCTGTTGCTTGACTTATATTAGGGTTATATTGGTGTTACCCTAAACCCTAAACCCTAGTTATATCGGGGTTATATCGGGATTATATTGAGGTTATATGTTGGACAACTCCAACCCGGCAGATGTCCATGTTACATTCCCACTGCTTCTGCTCCATGTTGCAGAGGTCCGACTTTGCAGTCCTCTGCGTAGACCCTGCACCCAATCGTTTAGGGATTTAGGGTTTAGGGTTTAGGGTTAATCCTTTAACAACAACTACCCAACAACTAGGTGCCCCAGTAGTACCCTTTTGCTCCTTTTTATTTTGGGTCTTCTTATTAAAGCTGAACTGTATGAAAAAGGGTACCCTTATTATTAATGGGTTACTGGGGATCCCAGACGATTAGTAGGAACTCCAATGTGCCTCTCTCAAACTGGTGCCGTAGACTGGTAGGCTCGAGGGTTTGACTTTGGGATTAGGGTTTGGTCAGGGTCTTGATTTTTCACCGCCCCACATGGAGGAAAAACCCTAAACCCAGTATGCTTGCCTCAAGCTCCAAGTGAGCTCAAGTGCTGTAAATATGGGGGCCGTAATGTGTTACTTTCTGTATTACTGAGCGGGATACTAGGAGTTTATTTAGATTTTAGCTCTTGTCAAGCCTAAATCCTCGACCCTAACCTTTATTCTTACAGGGATCCACTTCCCCATGCTCCTCTAAGCACCAACAAGTCCGGGAGGAGCCTTAGCAAGAGAAACCGGCAACAAGACTGAGTCTGGCGATCCCCTGTAGATAGCTTTGTACTAGGTCCTTTGAGTTTTACGTACCTAACTGAGTATTTAGTGATTTGTGGAGATGATGATAAATATGATGGTTCTCCAGCACAGCATCGGGCGCTTTTGAGATCGCTTACAAGCTTACTCTTAGAGAAATGCCCGATGAGGCTGATAAGAGACCCGCTGATCGTCTGATAATTCCTTCGGCGCTATCTCGTCAATCATCCTGGTATTTTCTTCCCCGGACTATAATTGATTTTCCTCATTTCGGATTATAAGAAGGCACTTGGCTTCTGAAGACCATGTAACTACTAAGAGGCTCAAGTAAACCACCCACGCCTCCCTTGGGTCGCAAACAGAGGATTGTATTTGAACCAATTATTTTTGACCACTAGGATTTTGGATTCATTACGTAATGGAGTCGATTATCCTAATGGACGCCAGGCTGGATATATTCGATATATGATGCAAAAACGAATCTTGATCATCTTTCAGATGAGTGGGTCCTCAAGGAAAGTCCCATATTTTGCTTCTGGAATTCTTTTTCGAAGCGCTTCCTTTTGAGAACCTCCCTATCTTTATCTGGAAGCTCGTGAACACCAGGATACTCCCCAGGCCAGAGGCGATAAATGAAATATTTGATTAAAGAATATCTTTGGGCGGAGATTTCATGCAAATATTTCTCATTTTATTGATGATATCGTTCCTCATTTCTGTAGAAGGTTGTAGAAGGGATTCAAGAAATTACTTGTATTTTTATTCAAATATTTATTGAATGATTTTAGATAAAAATGAATTTGGAATTATATTGGAAAAAGAAATGGCAATGGAGAAATGGGAATCGTCCAAAAATCTATATATAGTAATATATAAGTATGGGGACGGATGATTTAGAATCGTTGCGGGCGAAAAATCGCAAAAATTTCGTTTCTATATAGGATGATATAATTTCAATAGCGCGCGAATATACGATTATTATTAATGAGATTATTTTGATTTTTATAGCTAATTTTCTTTGAGAAAATATTCGTTGCTATAGATCCTTCATGAGGCAAATTTAGATCGATATAGAAGAATTGCTCTTATTATGAATAGTATTATCTCTTAATGAAATTGTTGCAGAGCAGATTTTCACGTTTTTCACGTAAGGCATACGAAAGGAATATGTAAGGCAATTATGAGTCGGGAAAATATTTTGGCATTCGGATATTTATGAGAAGTCTAGCCCTGCGTAAGCGAGAAAGTTATTGAATTTGAAGGTTAGATTATAAATTTATGGCATAGATTTGAAACCGTCTTTCATATATGTTTTATTTAATTCTCTTGACATATAGATACCTACTATTACTTCAAATATTCAATAAATTTATATAAGAGATTCAATAAATCTAAGTCTTAGAATTAAGATTTGGATAAGGTTTGTTGCGCATCTCAAGAAAATGTTGCGGGCGAAAGGACGGCGAAAGGATAATTTTTGAGACCAGGTATATTAGATAATCCCCAAATATGATTTCTAGGGAGATTCGGAAAATATTGGTCGCCCAATCTCTATAGCGAGAAATAATTTTCTGCGCGTCTTTTGGTTGGTTATTCGACGGAATATATAAATATGAGACGGAGAGCCAATATCTTTTAAAATTCTTAGCTTCTTAGATACGGGGGTCGAGGCCCGAAATCTCTCGAGATTTCGATCCTTTTGTATTATTTCAAATTATTTCTTTTTCTTCGATTACTTGTATGGCGGGTCGATATAGGTCCGGCACGGAGATCTAAAATCTTCTAGGACCTAAGAGGGGGATCATTTTTTGATCCCTAGAATCTTAAAAATCGATGATGCGTCGAGATCTTCATTCAATCTTATATATTCTGCGTGATTTATCTTTTTTTGATTATCGACGCGATTATTCGGAGGAATGCATAGAGCAGGGACGGAAAAAAAAAAAATCTTGAAATTTCGTCGTCTCTATTCATAGAGATTTATGTATTCTTCTTGACCGCCGTGCAGATCGTCTACGAGAGATAAATGAGGCGGAAAGACCGGATTGGATGTGGGGATCGCATGAAGAAAGGATCGCGGAAATAAAGATCTTCTTAGATTTCCAATTATTTCTCTTTCTTTGGTTGTCTGCGTGGGGATTTGGTTGAATGCGAAGATCTCGGGCGGAGATCTAAAATCTTTCAGAATCTATGTAACATAAGCGGTCTTAAAATCTGGATAATTCATCGATTTTCATTTGCGATCTTATATATTATTTGGTCATCGATTTTTCTATTATAGATTTTCTCAGATGAATATTTTCCAATATTATAAGCAATAGATCAATTCAAATATGACTAATAATCCAAAATAAGATTTTCGAATTCTGGAAATGAAATGAATTTTCGTTTTTTTAGATAGGAAAGATATAGATATTTGATGAATATGATATTCAAATTTGATTTCTCTAGATTGGAATGAAGCAAATATTCTTGATCAATTTTTGATTTTCCGTGATATTATGATAGATATATGAATCTATATATTATCATCTTCGAGATTAGATGAATATTACGAAATATTTATGAAGATATATTATATATATATAGATCTGATCGTATTTCTCAAATTCTATAATTGAGAAATATTTTCTGAATTTGATTGATATGCATATATATATATATAGAATCTTGATATATTCAATTCTTCTAATTTCATATTATTTATATTTCAATATCTATCTATTCTAATCTCTAATTCTTTAATATTTTATTCTAAATCTAATTATTCTTTTCGAAAAATTTATTTATCTAATCTATATTCAATAAATATATAATTAAAAATCAAAATTCTATGATAATAATAGATTTTATAGAGATTGATTCATATGATTTCTAAAAATCTATATGAATATGAATGAATTTTCGAAATTCGAAAATATTATTCATAGCTAATATTTTCTAGATTAATAAATTTATAGAAATTGTCGTATTTTTTTAATCTGAAATATCTCATATCTTATTTTCTTAGGAATTACATAATGAGATTAATTAGATCTCGATTATCTCGAGGGAAATAAATTCGACGTTAATAAATGATAGGATTTGATTATATTCAAAATATTACGAGGAGATATAAGCGTTATGGTATAAGAAATATGAAGGAATTGGGAAATTGATAGGATATGGATAAAAATTAAATCTATGATTTGATATTACGAATAATTTAGAGGCGGCGGAGATTCTCTGATAGATATATTGCGCATTAATTATTCTGATATATATAGACGGATAAGCTGCGGCGATATAGGGGAGATATTATATTCAGATAGAGAAGATATTGGGATATATTGACGAGGATTATTAGGAAAGATATATCGATAAAGATATCTTGATATATGGGAATGCCATAATCGTTGCGTTATATCTTGATGAAATAGGTATTCTAATATATTGAATTATATGGCAAATGAAATTTGAGAGAGAAATTCTAGGCGGATAGGAATAATATAGATATTCAGAAAGATATAGGAAAGAGATATAGGCAATAGATACGTTATAATATCTTTCAGATATTCTTTCGGGCAAGAATGAATAGAAATGATTCAGGAATTCTGATAGAATACGAAAAAAATTTCGTGGAATTTTTGGAAAATATATGCGCGATCGTTTTCATCTATCGAAGATAATATATTATAAGATATATAATATCAAAAGAATAAATAGAAAATAGATTTTATAGGATATCTTATCTAGCGATCTTTTCTTCCTAAATTAATGAGAAGATCGTCGATCCCAAATAGATTTATCAGGATATCATGGATCCATTATGAGATATCCAAAATAAGGAGAATAATTTTCAGAATCTTATATGCCCGTTTATCAAATAATTGCCAGGATATTCCCTTCTCCCAATCTTGCTAAGCGCGCAATATAACGAGAAATTCATTGATTTCAAAAAGAATTCTCAGGACGTTCTATATATCAAATAACGAGAAGATTTGCCGACGAATTTGAAAATTCGCCCAACCCCGCAAGGAGAATATTTCGACAAATATTATCCCCCCAGAATATTCGTCAGCGAATCCAATAATTCGTAAAATGCCAGAATATTTCTATTTATATTGTCTTTGAAGAATATTCGTCGACGAAATTGAATATTCATTCGTTTAATCCCGCATTGAGAATATTTCCATATATAAAATTTCTATAAAGAGAGATATCCCATCGATTTCCGTCAATTCCATCCCAAATTAAGAAGGCGTAAAGGCCGTATTATTTGGAGATAATATATCGCGATTCTAAGAAAAAAATTGATGATACGAAATATGAGAATGATCTAGGGATTAGAAGATTCGAATTATAATCTATATAAATATAAGAAGAATATGAAGAAAATCATTTATTTTAGATGAAAATCTATATTAATCAATGAATAATAAATAGATCAAGAAATAAATATTTCCGGAAATAATATAGGCAATCCGAAATAGGGAGATTAGGAGAATCTTTCGAGAATTAATTCGGAAATTTATTTCGGGGATTGCTTCGGGAACTGCTTCGGATTATATTACGAAATAGATCTGAAGATGATCGACGAATAAAAATGCTATCAATTCAATATATTGAAGGCGCATAGCTTCATCATAAATCTGTATCAGGAGATCGTCGCGCCATATTCAAAATATAGTCTATCCAAACTAGGACAAATCAGGAATCGATCTTGTCAGAATGCAATCATTGATAATATCAATACGTCTAGCAAAATAAGAATATACGAGGAATACGCCAGGAATTATCCGAAACGATATATTTCCTCTCCTTATATCCTAACCCATTCAATCCTCTATGGGCAGGGAGAAATCCCTCCAAATCTATATAAGGCAGACCCCCCTCCCTCAGGCGGATTTTGCACGAAACCAGATCTTCCACGAAACGTCTTTCCAGGCGTCATAAAATATAATATGCATACGCCATCTAAAATAATTAATATATCGCAAATTATTGACGCGCCTCAATGACGTATTGATGCAATTCATTTCATATTATGATTTCATACGAACCATCGAGGGCAGGTCGCATTTTGAGGAATCATGCCATAGATAAGCGTTTTCCAAAAGAGACTTTATATCAATAAAATAAAATACACGGCATACGATTTGATTGATCAAGCGGAGCGGAAATACGCCATCTCATATAATTATTCATATTCATAATTTAGGATATAATTCGCAACGCAACACAATATTGAGAAAATAAATACCAAAAGGACGATTATCTATATTGGCAGGGTGGGGCCTTGCTTCGGATATGATATGATTCGCGCCATATATATGATATTTGAATTTCGTATTCCGATAATATATTTCTTAAGAGATCAGTCAGCCCCTCTGCCGCACAAATCAGGCCCCCGGCCACTCAGCTGCTAAAGTCCGCCCCCAATCATTATTCTCTCAAAAGTTATTCGAGCATTTAGCTTCTGAAGTTATTTCGTATAAATACAGCCGCTTACGCTTGAGATTGCGAGCCTGCCGTAGAGCTTCAGAACGTATTAATAAAATAATTACGAGAATTCATATATAAAATGATTCAATTCCTATGGAAATTTTATCGAATATTTCTCGATGAATCGTCATCTCATATATTAATATTTCCTCAATAATCTCAATTATTATTGAAATAATAGATTAGCGATATAATATATAAAAATATCGATAATAACCTTCCTCTCAAATCAGAAGCTTAATTAGCATATAGATATCGAATGCGAACAAAGCTATGTTAGAAAATATTTTCCAATTTCATAGATTATATCCTATAAGAATATTCAGAATTATTTGAACAAAGAATAAGAATAAAATCCTAGCCCAAAAATTGAATCTTAAAAATAAGAATCTCCCGTGCGTTGGGGCGCAAATCTATCAACTATCATTATTTCATTGTACAAGAAATCGTAAATCTAATAACGATTAATATTACCGTTTCTTCTTCTATTGCTTAAACTAATCCCAAGAAAGCTTGATATTGAAGGTTTAGCGTTTAGGGTGACCAATATCGTTCTAAAGCCGCTAGGGTACCGAGCTTCGAAGCTTGAAAGAGCCCCTTGACTTGACAAACGACGTGTCTTACCTATCTTCGAAATATCAATAATTCGTAATCCAAAGATTTCAAATGACTGCTTTCGTGCACAAGCAAAAATATGAACGAATCAATCAATATACAAAAAATCATCATATATGTCAATTCCTCGCGTTGCTAAATTACCCTGCAAAAGCTTGTCTCAAAAATATATCACCTCCAGTGGATTCGCCATGTTTTCTCGATGCAAATTATGGTTCCTGGGTTCGGGGGCTTGATCTGTACACCGCCGCGAGATTTCCATGTGCAGCAAGGGCGACTAAGGGCAAAGTCAAGAACCCCGTGAAGCGTGGAAATAGCAGCTTCCAAACTGAAAGTCGTCCTTCAGGCGTCCCTGATCCCACATCTTGTTGACATGCATCACCGCAGTGCTGTCCCAAAATTGCTTCGCTGCTTTGTCCTTCTGGAGTAGCCGCACAACTGCTCTGGAAATGCCCATGAATGGACATGACACCTTTGCAAGGCTCATCGTGGGCGCTTGAGTTTGCTCGGGCATTTGCTTCTGAGCCATAGCAAAAGCCACTTGCGAGTTAGACATGCCGCGAAAAGTGCGGAGCAATGCCAAGGTTCCGCAGCAATGCAACCAGGAGCCTCATAGCATTACGGTTCAGGGTGTATAGCCCCCGTTACATAAGTAGATAGAATATGGAACTGCCCAATATCAGAATAGCCCCATCTACCCCCCATATTCTATGATTATCACATCCCATTTTCAAAGTCATAAGGCTTACAATGTATATTGATGTCTGTATTGTTCCCCCATTTATGGGTAAATCTCTGCAATTATTTGGAAGCTACCATGCGGCTGCAGCGATGGAGAGGCGGAATCTCTTCTGATCCTCCTCATGAGCAGCATGCCCCAGGCTCGTGCAGTCACTTCCCCCCAAATGCCAATCACCCAGCTTGCATCTCAAAAACATTTAGTATTGTACGCCGTACGCCGCAATGTTTCCGAGTCGTGGGAGTGGGGGAAGTGAAGAGCTTCATAAGATTGCATTGCGAGCCCCTTTCTGGAGGGGGCTTATCTGAGCTGATGCACAAGTCTTCCTTGCAAGCTCAGCGCGCTGTACACAGGAGTCAAGGAAGCACGAACATGTGACATAGGCTTTTTGCCACCAAAAGTTGGAAAGTGGGCCCTTAACCCAAAACCCTAAAACCAAAACCATAACCGCGCGGGTACCAGCTCAGTACCTCAAGCAGAACTACCCTCCTCACCACCGGCAGACGCCGGCAGTGTAGTGGCCTCGTGGGGGAGGAGCCCTGACGATATAAAGCCTCCTAAATAGGTTCGCCTTAAAAGCACCAAAGCGAAGACAGAAGGCTTGCAAAAAGTGGACCCTTCAAAAAGCCCTACCCTAAAACTCTAGTCCCTATGTATACCTATACATCCCTATATATCCCTAATATCCATGATATATCCCTATCCTTACGTGTACCAAACCCCTGGTATAGACCAAACCTACCCATGACCTGGTCAATTTTGCGGAGTCCGCTCCAGGAGACTGTAAAGAAGAGGCCACAAACCTCAGAATGGATGGGGTTCAGGATGGTTTAGGGTTTAGGGGTTTAGGGTTGGGCCTAGGAGCTTGAGGTGTTAGTATTTTAGATTGAGGGTTCGAGGGCAACAAAACCTTGCTCAATGTACAGGCAGGATAGTCGGGAAGACCATTTCCCGCTGATCCCTCCATGCTTTTCATACAGCAGCATACCAAAACCAAACAAAACATGTTCTGATCGGTTACGCGGGAGCATGAGGCAACGTATCAAATAGGGGTCCTCTTTATGTACCTCAACTACCTGCATCCCCAAACCAGGTTAGGATTTTGACCTAGGGTAAACAGAATCAAAGAGCTCTCTAAAAGGAGCCCTAGAAAATAAGTGTTCTTTGATTTCTTGGGTTTATATCCCTTTTATGGCCATGAAATCCTAACCTGCCCTAAGCCCTAAACCCAAACCCACCAACTACCTGCATCCTAGACATAGGAATTCTGGAGCTCCCCTTGGCTGGACTCGGAATCCGACCTGTCATGGAATCCCACACGCACGTACACGCACGTACAAATATAGATAAACAAACAAATAGATATATATATATATCTAATCATGTATTTATCTATCTGTATATATGTGCATATGTATATGTATTTATATAGCTATGCGTACAGATATCTGTGTGTAGACGGGATAGACGGGAATATGCTTTTCAACCCAGCAAATGTACTGTTTTTCCAATGAGGACCCGGAAGCCAGGGTTATGATGTAGAAGGGAATGTAGCGCCCAAACCAACCCCATCCTGTGCAGCCATCCAGAAGATGTGAGGCGAATGAGGGAGCAATTGCCTGGGTTGCTGTTCAGGAACCTAGATTAAATTACCACAATGGGTGTATATATATATAGAGTAATTATTGAATATGGTTTCCCCAATATAGTAACTTAGCTTAAACCCTTAAATCCCGACAATCCCCCAGCTTCCATTTCATTTTCGATGCGTGCCGTCTGATTCTCCATTATAGAGGGGTAAATGGGGGTAATATAGTAACTAAAACTAAGTTCCTTGGCCCTAAACCCTTAACCTTAAACCCTATATCATACCCCAATACCCAGTTGCTCTGCTAAGCGCGCCGGCGGCGTTTGCAAAGCCGTTGACGGTTCCACGGTTCAGGCCTTCTGCAACTCCCTTCATGAAGGCCCCTTAACCCTAAACCCTAAGCCCTGAACCCTACAAACCCTTAAACCCTAAACCCTATAAACCCCTAAGCCCTATAAACCCTAAACCCCAGGCCTTCTGAAGCTCGGTTGATGAAGGCAAAGGCAGTGGGGAACATCAAGAAGGTTCCGACCATGTAGACAAACTGACCAAGGCCCAGGACAACATATCTCCAAAGGCCATATTTCACCTGGCTTGCGGTTAGCAAGGAATGAAGGGATAGAACTGGCAAGGGGTACGTATGCTATTGGGATGACATATGAGGTACAGTCTAGACTCCTAGTATCCCCCTTAATCACCCCGTTTATAGTCCCCTACATCATCTCCTTTATCTCTCCCTCCACGCCCTACGTGGAGGTTCATGGGTTTAGGGTTATAAGGGTTACTGATGACTCTACTTACCAGCCCCTTAGACCTTAAGCCTCTTGAGATGGTGATGACCGGGTTCTGACTACCCTTTAACAGCAACCACCCTAAACCCTGATAGCAGCTTCCGTTTTCTTCTCAATTCCATGCCCTAAACCCTAAACTCTGAACCCTAAGTAAGTCACTGGATCTGCGAAGAGGCCGTACACTGGGTAAAGTCCATAGGCGAGGCTGTTCAGCAAAAAGCCTGGGTTGCTGTTAAGGGAATATAGCGGTATAAGAAAAGCAAGGTTATACATAAACTAAGCCAGTATTCTAAGAAATGCATTTTTTGCCAGACTTTTACCCGCATATCCATGTAACCTAGTTTCTGGATTTAGGGTTTAGGGTTGAGTTCCTGAACTACAACAAAGTAGCCGAGGACGAAGGTGTTGAGAAAGCCCATCTGCTTGGTCAGCCTGGGATAAAGCATCAGCTGACCTTGTTCTGAGGGTTTAGGGTCTAGGCCGATACTAGGGTTTAGGGTTTAGGGTTTGGGTTGGGGCTATGTCGGGGTTCTAGAATTGTAGAATCAATTCAGCTGACCTGGTTCTATTAGGGGGGGTAATGTAAAAGATGTCTCTTTCTATGCATCATGTCGCTTGCTGATAGAACAAGAAAGCAACTTCAAACAATGAGGGCCATCAATTACCCAGTGGCATAGGATCACCCCCAGCGCTCCGATGTTAAGGATGATGGAAATCTGCTGTGGGCCCATGTCGAATCCATCCAAGGAGCGGGGGTCAGGCAAGAGCAAAATGACTAAACTGTTCTGTGCCACTGCGGTGCCAGCAAGACCACAGTATGTCACAATGACTTGGATTGTGGTCATGGGATAGCACTTGCTCCGCGTCCTGCCTGGCGGTTTTCTCGAAATACCGCCTACAGTATAACATCATCAACGGGGGACGGGGGACCCCTCAGAATCCTCTTACAGTCCATGTAGGTCACCAAATGTACCCATGTCAAGGACCTCTCTGCCTCAATCCTGGGTACGACTGTTAGGAAGCACTAGCGCTTTCGACTATAAGCCAGTATAGATTGGGTTGGGCCCCCAACCACTAATAGTGACCATAAGAGGTAATGGTAATTATATAGGTGGTTGTCAAAATTATGATTCCTTTTTGGGCCCCTATAAAAATACGACACCTAATATTTAGGGTACCCGAAAAGGGACCATAATTTTGGCAACCACCCATACTAGGGTCCTTGTATCTTCCTAGCATACCACTAAACCCTAAACCCACTATTGGCCCAACCCAAATTATAGAATATTACCTGGTTGCAACTCGGATTGGCCATTCCAAGCCTACAAAACCATTACACCCTAGTGGGTTTAGGGTTTAGAGTAAGCCTTAAGCCCTAAATCCCAATTTCTGTTTTGTTCTTCATGTTCTTTCCCACGTGACCCTCCATTGCCTGTTTACAACTTGGCTTTCTTCAGCTTCTCACTGATATATGCAAATTATACATATATATATATATATATGTATACGCTACATGAGGCCTATAACTGCCTTTTCTGAGGGTACCCGCCTTTTAACTAGCCACCTGGAGGTTTTTTCGACCCCAAACCCTAAACTGTATGGAGACACTCTCCCCACCTGCATCTGCAGAGTCGCCTCCATCCGCAGCGTCCACGGCCTCTGACAGCGCCAGCTGCATGCCATGCCTGGCTCAAGGAATCCTTACGAGGCTCCATAGGGTTTAGGGTTTAGGGTTTAGGGCTTAGGGTTTAGGGTTTAGGGTTTAGGGTTTAGGGCTTAGGGTTTAGGGTTTAGGGTTACAAGGCTCCATAGGAGCTACAATCAATCTGCCTACAGAATTCAACGGACATGTCTTCCTTGTCAGTGACTATAACAGGGACCATACTAGACTATAAGAGGGACTCCTATGTCCACACTTTGACGGTACATACATGTACATACAAGGGAGACCCACAATTAAGGACTCCTTATGACCTCCCTAAAACCTACCTAGGCTTCCAGCCTAAGGCCGGATATAGTTTTTCATTATGGGACCCCATATATCGGCTCCCAAAGACCTTCCTCAGCTGTCATCCGGGCTTTGCGTCTGTGAGGTTGGCGGCTCGCGGCTTTAAGGTTTTTTCGGGCTTCAGGGGTTTTCGAGGTTTGGGGCGCTCAGGGGCTTATGGTTGTGGGGTTTGGGGTGTGGGCACAACATAGTTACCCAAAACCCTAAACCCTAAACCCTAAGCCCTAAACCTAAACCCTAAACCCTATTACCCTAAACCCTAAGTCCCGTTACCCTGGAGGAGTGTGCCTTGCCTTGCACTTGCGGTTCGAACGCAGCGCTTGCTCCTGGGCAGCGTCTCCTCCATGCAGAAAAATCCGATAATCCAGGCAATCGCGGCGAAAATGGCATACGTAAGATTTGGGAGCAGAAATGGATACTCATCGAACAATGTGCCCTTGAACAAGCTGGGGGCCGTCCGCGCAGGAAAAACCAGCTGCCCACCCAGCAAAGGCCCGACAATCAGGCCCATGGCAAAGCAGAGCGCAAGAATACTGAACCCCCGGGCCTCATTCGTCTTGTCGACTACCTCACCAAGGTAGGTCCGTGTGACGCCCAAGTTCCCGCAGAAGAATCCGTCTAAAGCGCGCACCGCGAAGATCACTGGCAAGGATTTCCCCAGGCCGAGGAGAATCGGTGCAAGTGCAGAGCCCGCAAGGCCGATCAATAAGCATGGCCTTCGACCCACTCTATCAGCCACCATGCCCCAGAAAGGGCTGAAGATCACCTCAAAGAGTGAGTAAAGTCCAATGAGCAGGGAGACTGTGGTGTGCACATCAGAGCTGTCTGGGCTTTTGTTGAGGAAGGTCGACACCATCTCCACAGCATATGGGGTCATGATATTCACATTGATACAGTCAATGAGGTTCATTGCGGCAATTACGAACAGGATCTTGTTAGTGAGCCGCGGCCTAGCCGCGTCGCTGGCGGAGGCTGACAGAGGACCCGACATGGCTCAAAATGATCCAGGTGGCTGGCACCCAGGGCTCAGCTCACTTCTTAGCCTAGGCTCAGAACCTTTAGCCAGGATGCTGCAATATGGGGATGCCTCACAACGAGAACGGGACTGTGGGGTAGACCAGTAGATGGGGTGTACAGATATTCAGAAAGAAGCGGGGTGCAATGATTGGGGCGAGGGATTACCAATCCCTAGCAGGGAGCGAGGGATTTGTGATCCAGACCTCTGAATGCGGGCCCAGCAAGGAGGGCTCGGGGCCAGTAGGACGCTGTTTGGGGTTTGGGGTTCCGAGTTTAGGCGGACCCGTTTCGGGGGTTGCCTATGATGAGGGCTGTAGCACATTGGGATGCACTTTGGAGCCCTGCTTGTGGAAACTACCACATAAGGATAAGCTTGAAGAGTGCGCACATCCCGTGTCAGGAAGCATCGTGTATAGGGACGATGGCTGAAAGCCCAGAACAGAAGAACGTCTGGTCTCAATACCCAATCGTTAAGGAGCAAAGTCTACATCCCAAAGCAGAAGATCTAAATGTTCTAAGACGAGGTAGTGGTCAGTACGTTTTGATGGGCCCACTTAAGTGGTCCAGCCTGTTGCCTGCGGCTCCCCTAAACCACGAGACCAGATTTACCAGATTATAGGCTGCCTAGACGTCATATCCCAAAAGGAACCTGGCACTTGGGAGTGCATCAAGGAAATCTGCTTTGACTTAAACAGACCCAATTGGGCTCAGGCCTCTTACACCCAACCCTCCGACCACCCCCCCCAAACTAATCTGAAAACACTAACAACCTATAAGCGCTAGAATCCTTAAACCGCGTGCCATGCAAGGTTCCACGCTGGCTTGGGCAAGGGTAAGCCCTGCATTGTGCGCAGGCTTTTCCGCGGTTTCTTTGCGAACTCAGATCTCGAAGTCGATCTTTGAGGCTTCCCGTTCTGCCTCGACGGAACGGTTTAGGGTTTATAGGGTTTAGGGCTTAGGGCTTAGGGTTTAGGGCTTAGGGTTTAGTGTTCAGGCTGTAGTTCATCTGCTCCTCTAAGCGTTTACGAGCACAGTCCCCCATTTTCCACCCCTTTCACTTACATGTCCAGCGCCGCTGAGGCTTGAAGACGACCCTTCGAGTCTTCGGGTTGGGAGCGAAATCACCCTAACCCTCAGGATCCAAGTAAGGTTTAGAGTTTTAGGCTTTTAGGGTTAGAGGTTTTAGAGGTTTTAAGGTTTCAAGGTGAAGGGTATAGGGCCCAATGTAGGAAATTATTAACAGTAGAATCTTTAAGGTAAAATTTGAAAAGCTACCGCGCAGGAGCCTCGAGTCCATGACAGGGTTTAAGTTTATTTTGGGGGGTTTAGGGTTTAGAGTTTAGGGTTTAGGGTTTAAGGTTGGATCTCTACAGGCCCCCGAGAGTTCAGCTCATTCTTCAGGATCAAACCCGAAACCTTATCAATGCTACACCTTAAACGACCCTAACCCTACAACTCTACCACTCGAAAACCCTTAGCCTCAAACCTTGGAATCCTTAAGCCTTAGCACTTAAAAACCACCGCGAAGATCTTAAAGGCCCCAAAGCCCTGCGAGCCTCCTCAGCAGCCTGCTTTGCGGCAAGGAGGCCGCGGAACTGCCTAGCTCAAAGAGCAGCAACCCAGCTCAGGCAGGGATATCTTAGGTGGACCCCCCCACCCAGTAATAGTGACTATAATGGGTAATAGGGATTAGATAAGGGTCCTCTTATTAAACCACTATTACAGGGTGGGGGGTCCTCCTAAGGGATATCTTCCGTGGGAGTCTGCCCCAGGGCTTGGATTCTTAGAGTTTAGGGTTTAGGGGTGAACAAGCTCTGCGTGCGAATCTTGAGTCCCATAGTTGAGATTCTACTTCAACACTTCCATACAGTACAGTAGAGCCTAAGGCCTGGACCCCAAGCCTCCGCCGTACACCCGCAGGAGACGTTCCGAGAATGCCCCCTATGCAATCCTCAATGGGGACCTGAATGGTCCTACTGTAATCCCAACATATCAATAGGGTCCATTCGGGCCCCCGTTTTAGGAGGCTCTCACATTGTCATACCGGTTCTTCTCAAAACTATGGGTGCATTTTGGTTATGGATTCTATTGCGGCGCCTAGTATTCAGGGATACCAAAAAGGAATCCTATTTTCTGGGTTGCTGTTAAGGAACTTAAATTGCCATGATGGGTAGATATAGCAGATTCATATGGCTTCCCCAATATAGCAGCTTTAATTTAAAGTCCTTAACAGAAACTCAGTTTGGGAACTACCCATATGAGCAAGTTGACGCACTGGCTTATCTGGGTAGAGCCCTTGGAGCTCTTTGGAATCAAGGTCTAAAGGTTCCTGGATGCTTTTTAAAGCAAGGGGTTTAAGGGTCTAGGGTTAAGGGTTCAAGGTTTCGGGCTTAGGGTTTCAGGCTTAGGGTTACAGAACTGCAGGGTACTGTACAAGCTCCCAAACATCCTCTCTGGTGTCAGGTTGAAATACACCTTGGTAAACGCCTACGAAAGTCCCGGACGTCTACGTGCTCTCCAAATCACAGGTCAAATGTCATGCAAAAAGCGTTGCCGAATTATGGATAGTTCTTTCTTACCGCAGATTTCCAGGCGTCATTTACCCCCAAAAACATGGCCACAGCTTTGAGAAAAAAATAGCCCCTTCCAGGAAGCCCTGCCTTACACCCTCCGCCCCGCAGCCCAAATCCTAAACCCTCGGCATCGTCAATCCCAAACTCCTAAACGTTTAGCCATCGATCCTTAGATAACTGGTCAGTTTTAAGAACAACCTCGAATTGCAGTTTCCATACGCACCCTGTCATACCATACTGCGTAGAGGCTCCCCCGAAAAGGGAACCAAAAAGTGTAAACCGATAGTTCCTAATCCTTCTTTGCCATAAAAGTCCCACGAGCCTCAATTTCTCTCGCACATCCTCGGTGGGAAGCGGCGCTCGATCCCGCAGCTCCTGGCTACTCAAAAGCAAAGAGCTCAGAATCGGGTGCCCTAGAAAGGGCTTCTACTTGGGGGGTCATGAGGACTTAGGTAGTAGGCTAATAATGGGCAATATTGGTGTTATTCTATGGCTTATAGGGGTTATTAACCTACTTACTGAGTCCCCCTGACCCTCCAAGCATATAGGAAGGTACAGAGAGATACATGGGGTTTAGGGGCTATGGCTTGAAGTTTCTCAAGACCAGAGGACCCTTACGTATCCTATTGGTATCTGGGTGCTACAGGCGTCCTTCGGAAGATTCTGTCAAGGGAATTTTGAAAAATTCTACGTACATCATCCTGAACTAATTTTGGGAAAGTTCCACATACTCCCGAGAATCCTGTGACTCTTCTTACAGGGACAGCCCCCCAAAGGGAGAAACCCCCCAAACCTGGTTCCTCATTGGGTACTAAGAACAGTTTTACATTAGTTTTGGGCTTAGGGTTTAGGCAACTCAAAATCAAGCGCAATCCCGAATCCTAAAATTTGAGCCATAAGGGGCTATGGGGTATAACCTGGCTGCATCTTCAATGCTTTGCTAGCCAGGTAGGCAGGGAACCTTCGCAAACCTTGGGAGGCTTGGAAGGACCTCCAATACCAAAATGCTGAGATTTTCTGGGTGTATATCAGGGTATATCAGGCCATGTGGGGATCTACCTTAGCTTGCGGAGTTTCCAAAAAATTAAGACCCTTTATTGAGGGTCCCCAATTTGCACATCTCAGAATTACAGCACGTTCGGGTTTATCATGCGCACCGGAAATCCCATATGTGTGGGAGTGGCAAGGATCCCGAAACACTTACAAGTAGACTAAGTAAGTTTGCAGGAATGCTTCAGTGTGTGTTCTGCTGTATAAAGCCCTAACCGAGATAGCTTCAGACTTTCTTGATTCTTCTGGTGGAATTCCTGAAGGGTAATCTCTACTCTGTGTTTCGAGAGGAAAGAACTCTACCTTAAGCGTGGGAGAGATGCCGAAGCAACCACCGTCCACACTACTTGAAGGGGAAACCAATAGGTAGTGGTTACTGGGGCTATAATTGTAAGTCCCCTGGCCCATGATAAGTGTATATTTGTATTTAGGTATATGTATATATATTCATGTATTTATCTACATGTAGTTTTCTGTTTTCTCAACCCCCCCCCCCCCTCGCACAACTCATGTAAGGACCTGAATTACCAATACCACCCTAAGATCTACGTTGGCACCATATACTACTATCATTTTACAAAGGATCGCGATTTAGGGCCTAGGGGCTACAATACTAGTAAGCATTGGACTGTTGAGGCTTCTACACCCATGAACTTGCAAGTACTGCTAGATGTCAGAAAGCCACAGCATACCACACAGCCCACAGACTGTGCGCCTCTGCCACAGGCAGGGCGCCAGCGATGAGCGTCTGAAGGTACTGTCGCTTCCTATTGGGCGTAGGGCTTATAGTCCCCCTTAAGGAGATAGAATATGGGGTAAATGGGGATCTTATCAGTATATACCCAAAGCCATATTCTATCTACTTAAGGGGGACTACAGGAGTTTAGCATTTAGGGGTTTAGCGTTTTAGTGTTCAAGGGTTGAGGTGTCTTTGTTTTTACTTGGTTTAGGAATTCAGGGTGGGGGCAAGAGGTCCAGGGAAATCCAAGGTGCGTGGCGGCTTACTGGGGGTTAGTAGGGAATAAGGGAATATGATCCCGATATAATCCCTGCATAATGTATCCCCTTACTTCCTACTAAGCTCCGGTAAGGTGCAGAGGTTGCGCCATGAAATTGATGAACATTTAAATGCTCAGGGCGTTGTCGCAGGAGCTGGGGCCGGTCTTTCAGGAAATCTGGAACAGCCAAGCAAAGACTAAGTATGAGAAGCAACGAACTTCTGGGCTCTCTCAGTGTGCGCCAAAGTCCTCCAAACTCACATGGAACCCAACAAAGACCCTGGCCTTCTAACATCTCAACGTCCCAACCCAAATCGAAAGCCAGCAGCTGCTGGGTTCTCCAAACCACCCCC